GCCGAAGATCTATTAAAAACACTTGTTTTCTCGAAGTTCTTGTCATTTCTTGTGGTTGATTATAGAGTTCTACGAGTGGTAAAACATCTGTTTGGAAGAGTCAAAAATTCTGATTCTAATTGAAAATGTTATCCACATTTCCAGAAACTCTTACTTTTCTGACGTCTTCTCTAGATCCGTCGTCCCTTAAGAGCAARGGTGTCAAAACGATGTCAAGTTTGSCATTTCCACTGAACTTGTTTATAAAATAAGTAAAAAATATACTAAACCACTACCACTAAATAAAAATATTCAAAATATGAGCATTTCTGCCTGAAACTGAGTCACGCCATCTCTTCTATACATAAATTTACTGTCATTTCTAAGCCCAATTTCAGAAAAATAAACAGAGTCAAAAAAGAAAAAAAGAAAGAAAGCCCAGAAAAACAAAATTTAAAATGTTTAGTTAAGTACACGCCTTGTCCTGTTTACATTCATCATTTTAATTGGTGAAGACTAAACATTTGTTTTGTCCTTCGTGAATTGTCATGTCTTTTGTCGTTTCCTTCCTTCAATAATTCRTCCAATATACACTGACTAAGTTCAGTAATAAATAAATAAATTATATTAATAGTAGAGTGATTTGTTTGACGTGCGAGCCTATTTTCTGGTGGTTAGATGCTCTAGCGCAATACTCTTGACAGCACAAAAAAAATCAGTCCTTCCTTCTTTCTTCGGCAACAGACTCTCCCGTTTTTCCTCTTCTCAAAATTGAAAACCAGAGTAAAACRAAATAACCTTTTTTTCGGAACCTCTAGATGACTGACGCCTTCAGGCTGTAATCTTCAAATATATTTTTCGCCTTAAAATTGTTAATGAATTCTTCTTCTTCTAAAGAGAGAAAAATTGCATCAAGTTATATAAACAAAACGACCACCCACTGGTTCCTTCGCTTGAATCCCAATTAGAGTTCTTTTCCATTTTTTATTGCATAAACTACAAAGATTATCACTCCAGATAGTCTGTTCTTGTCGCCTCGATATACAAGAGGTGGTACTAGAATCGTTTGTTTAAGACTCTTAGTAGCTTTCTATTGTCAGCGGCATCGTCGATCWCAGTGCATAGTCCATTTCTTCGTTGTTTATGATAGAGCTCGTCGGATGATAAGGATACGCCTAATCGACGTGCAGCTCTTCGGAGCTTGCAGATCGGTCGTGACTGCTTCTCGGTAGAATCAGCAGACAAAAAACTTGGAAAATCTTCAGTCTTTTCGCYATCAGAAATAAATCGTAAATCAGGGACAGACTCTGATAAAGAGCCCGATTTTGGTCTCGTATTATCCGATAATTTTATACGAGTTTCGCTCCCTGGGATTGTCGTATCGCTTTCCTGACTTTTGTCACTATCTGATATAATATCATTCTCCAGTTTCTCTACACCTTTGTTATTTTCAATTGTGTTTGGCTTTTTTGTTTCGTTTTTTTCTCTTTCTCTAGATACTTCAATTGTTACAACATGAGTATCCAACGCGCTTACATCGTTTCTAGATGCATGGACTACCTCATGAATTGAATCCTCTCTAATCTTGTCGTAATTTAAAGTCGGCCCTGATTCCATGCTCAAAGACCTTGGAAGCGTTCTCCGTCGCATTAATTCTTTAGCAAAACCATTGTCTTCCCCGCGGTTTGTTTGAGCGATTCCTCCACCGATGTTAGCTGCAAGGCTTGCTGCACGTTGACGTTGTTTGGACCTTTGTTTACCAAGATTGTAACTGTAACGAAAAATATCTCTCTCTGAAGATTTGGCTGTTTCGTTCCCTGYATCCACAAGCGATCTGTCCCGCTTGAGCGGGATAAAAGAATCCAAATCACTTAACATTCTCCAACGAGCAATTTCAGATTTACTTATGTGGTCTGCAGTTAGTGAATACGCTGATCACTTCGCGTCTGTTCCCTCGGGGCTCCGGCAGGTTCTTCCTTCTAAGGCGTAACACTTATGAACAGAGATTGCCTCGTATCCCGTTAAATGTTATCGCCATATGTTAAAGTCTCCGCTGAAACATGACTTTGTTTCGAATTCACTACATCGTTCTCTACGTAGCAGGAAAACGCTTGATTGTATCATTTGTCTAGATCATTCGCAGCTCTAAGCTCGGCTTTCTTACTCACATGTAAAGTCAACGCCACAAACCAACAAGTTGATTGATATCACTTAATGTACTCTGTTCGCCTGGGCAATCAATATCAGTCTAACGGCCAAGTCAAAGTCGGCGAGGTTTTCTACTCAATCACCAATAGTAACACGTCACAACACGAATGGAATTGGCCAATTTCCATTTCAATTAGATTAGTTACGACAGACCTTTTAACAAAGCCAGGGKTTTTTTCTTTTTTCTACATGCTTTCTCGACTTTGTACTTCAAGAACCGGGACTGACAGATTCAAGACTGGCCAAGATAATAGCCGAGAGAGATGAGAGTTTTTATTCTTTCTATTTGAAAGCTGAGAAGTGACATATTACCTTTAGAACGTGAAGGTCTTCAGTCAATGAGATTAAATGAATTGTAAATCCGAGCTGAAGAGCTTTGCATGTGTTCTAAAAAGGCTTTCTAAAAGTATTTCAAAGATTTTTATTTTCCACAGAGATCAGATAGTAGGGTAAAGGAATCGGTATAGAACGAAAATGAAAAGTAAGGAACATTTTCCTGAGTAAACAAGGAAAGTGAAGAGGATTATTCAGGAAAAATAAACGAAACTTGGTCTACAGACTCGAAAGAATCATAGGCAAACAAAAAGGTATTAACGACAAGACATGGCTTTTAATACATATTTTTGCATTCTCATTTTTTCCTGACAGTCTTGATTTTTGAATTTGGATCTCTGGAGATGCCTTTATAGTTAAATTTCCGGAAATAAACGGAGAGAATTTGAATACTTTGGAAACGAAAAATATATAGGATTATCAAGATATTTATGTCTAGTYCTGTGGGTTGAAAAATTAAAATACAAATATACGCCAATTATTTTCGGAAAACAATCGTTTTGGTTTTGAGTTTTAAATATTTTTTTTTAACCAAAACTTTATAAATATTGATGTTTCTGGTGAACTGTTTATTTCCTTATTTTGTAAGCTACCGTTGTTTTAATTTGGAGTCCGTTGAATCTATTGAATTCGCGGGGGGAAAGGCCGGTCAAGGGCCGGTTTATCAGGCTTTAGTAGTTTTTTATATTCTTATAAGAATTTAAAAAGTTGAAGTCAAATGATCGGAAATAGCTGATTCGCCATTCAATTCAAAGTTAAATACAAACTTTGTAATTCACCGTTTCTTATCTTAAAAAAATATGACACGAGATAATAGAAATGATTTAACTCATTGATGTTTACATATTGGTTATTGTGTTAGGTTATACAACAGAGGTCTCGAATGTTCTCTGCTCGAAGGGTAGAGTTTGGAGCTAAAAATATATTTGTATAATTAATTTTCCTTCTGTGACATTTCGGAATAAGTTTTCTTCCATTTTCTTAACTTGAAATCTCTATATCAGGCTTTTTTAAGTCTTGAAAATGCATTTTATTTATTTTTTATTTACGAATGGAAAGTTTGTGAATACGAGACACAACACTTTTGAAATGACAGTTTACCAGACGATAAACCCCTCGGGATAATGCAGCACTGATTCTTGTACGAACAAGATAAAATCCATTAGACAAGAAATGCGGGTTTTTAATTTCGTAATTCCGATTGTGTAATGATTAAATAATCTTCCCTTATTCTGGTCGAATATTTTCGAACTTCTAGAAGGCAAACGTTTTCACTTCAAGTGCCTGGAATGAAACGTCAACCATAACACATTTATATCATATCAGGGACTCTGATTTTTTTCTAAGTTCCTTTCAGCTAGAGACAAATGATCCATAATTTATATTCTATAAATTCATCAATAACAATATTACTTTATTTTTTTAAATTTCATCCCCTCGATCATTAACCTCTCTTATTTTTTCTTTTCTTTTCTTTTCCTTGTGCTTAGGTTTGTTTTTGTCCTATTTTGATGTATTTCCAACCACAGCGCAATGCTTTTCAGATAGTCTGATGGGTGGTATTCTAGTAACTTAAAAGTAATCCATTCAACCTGAAACCAGCACCAGCTGCAATCAGTTACCGTGACCAAAAACCCGGAATCTAGCTAGGTTTTTTTTTTTCCTTAAAGGCCAACAACTGTTTTTTTTCGATTAAAAAAAAAATTGTTTTCTCATAGAAAGCCAACAAAGTGTCCGGCGGCACACATCCTGGGTGCACAAAAGTTCGTCTTAATGATTCCAGCCATCAAGAGAAAGAATTTTCCTGTTTATGTAGGTGTATAATATTTCTAGGAAATCCAACAAAGTGTCTGCACCGCACTGCAAGGCTTTCTTCCTATTTTTTTACGATTTCATTCTTCGCACCACAAGAATTTAGCCATTACATAAAAGTGTCTATTTTTTCTAGGAAGCCAACAAAGTGTCTGTARCAAAAGCGTTTCCTATCTTTTTTAATGATTTCATTCAACGCGATTTGTTTCCTTTTTGGTAGTCGTTTGTTTGGTAGGAAGCCAACAAAGTGTCTGTATACCTACAGAGTTTTTCTATAGCATTTTATAACAATTCCACCCATGGCAAATGGAAGATTTTTTTCGTTTTCAGAAGGTTCCTGCCTATAAAGAGTTTTCCAGCATATTGATATCTAARAACTTTAGCCCACCGATTTGATTTTGTTTTAAAAACGCAGTGTTAACTAAGCCAATAAAGTGTAAGGATCTAGAAGGTTTGTCTAGCTATAGCCTGGTATACCCTTCGTTAAGCGTGAATTTTTTGGGGTTTTGGGAGGTGCTTATTTTATAGTAAGAAGCCAACAAAGTGTTTGCACTTAAACGGGTTGATTTGCAGTTCGCTATTTAATATATATATATTTAAAAGCACTAGTTTTAGAGAAAGCCAACCAAGTGCCTGCACTAAACCTTGCCAATGAAAATTCAATGATCGATAAATTTTCTTTTTTGAAAGGTTTAAGTGAAGTGTTAGTTCGTATTACGAACAGGGATTTTACCCAAACATATCAAGTGTCATTTACTAAGTAAGCCATCAAGGTAAATCTATATTAACAAAGCTATTTTCCTGGCACTGAAAGGGATTTTAATACAGAAATCTCGACAAGGGGTGTAACTTCAATCATTTGATACTAAAATGTTCCGTATTCTTTTGGAAGTTCATATTCCTTAAAATTCACCCAAAAATATCAAGGTTTTTAAAAGCGGGGAAAAATCAAAAAAAATCTTTTATAGTGAGCTAATGAAGTCGGTAAAGAATTTTTGCCAAATTATAAACAAAAAAAAAAAAAAAAAAAAAAAAAAAAAAAAAAAAAAAAAAAAAAAAAGAAGAGATTAAATTTAGCGAGATTAGATTTAGCGAAATTTGATAAAATGAGATTAGCGCTCACATGGGTAAAAAATGTGAAAGAGACAAAAAAGGGGGTATTCAAATTCTAGGCCACTACTTGAACACACTATTCATGCGTCATCGAACTAAATTTTCTTAAGCCTATCATTTCTTGTCAGTTTATTACCGGTATACCCGAGATAACAAACTTAAGAAGTTCTCTCTCATTCGAAACTCAAAGTTTGTTTTTCAAATGAAAAGACGCCAAAACAAATGTCACAGCACTTAAAAGGTTTTTTCTTGGAATTTCATCAAATTTGGTTTCAAATTGAGGAGCCGAGCAAAACTAATTGAAAACAGGAAAAGTATTTTCCCTCTCAAGGACTAAGATTAAGCATATCTAATACCACGTACTATTTTATGTACAAGCGTTAAAGGTATTTTGAATGTAGCACTTGAAGAACCGTACAGAGAAAGGAGAGAAAACTCTATTAAGATATTAGGATTAAAAAAGGTGAAAAATTATTCCACGTTTCTTTAGAGTAGCACTTCATAGGTTTCCTGAAGTGATTCTTTGAAGCTCGTTTCAGAGCCGAAACAATCCGGTTTATCTCAAAGGAAATCGTCTACCACTTGGTAACTTAGTGTGAATAGGACAGCGAGTTGATAAACACACACAGGAAGTGTAATAGTTTGATTACAAYATTTGGAGTGTTTTTGGACAAGTGTACGGACTATACTGACGCATATCCGCGAAATGAAGTAAATATAGTATGTTTTGATATCACGTTCGCGACGTTTCGCGTGCTTTTTATAAATGTTAAACTTATCTCGTACTGTCGTTTCAATATAAGGTCTATAAAAAATCTTTTTTAAAGATTAACCTGGCATTTCGACTGATTGGGTTGCCTGTGGTTTATGTTGCCTCATCTCTAAAATYGACAATCATTGTACAATGTTTAGAAATTTAAGATAAATGACAGCAGTGACTTTACATACAGTTAAGATAAAATATTGAATAAATAATCAGTTGTCATATAAAAAGAAATAATGATGTCTACCAGATAAAACTGTATAACATAGATGTAATTRAAGCTCCTCAGTATCGCGAGGTGTGGGTGTGGCATAAGGTGGAGGGGGGTAGGGCCAGGGATATGTATAACATATCTTTTGATTGTTGGAGGAAGTGTGGGGTAAGCCAAATAGCCTGCATAGCGGCGCTTTGGGGAGGGGGAGGGGGGAGGGGAGGTGATGGGGAGGAGGGACTGGGGAGCGCGGCTACGCAGGCTATAAGCCAAATAAAGAAATAATTTTTCTGTAGTATGAAGGGTAAGGGAGAAGCTTTTACTGTTAAATGTATGACAAGGGCTGGGTGGGTTGGGGTTTTTTTTGACTCCGTATGCCTTGATGTAGGAATACAATACCCTTGAAAACCCCTGGAGTTGTTTATACTTCCATAGGTTTTGGAGTGTCACCTGATCCACGAGAATCTGCCATTATAAGAAAAGAAAGTGTTAATATTCGAGTTTCCAAGGTTCAAACGGATATGTTCATCGTAATATTTTTCTCCGATTTGAGACTATGTGTCATTCTCTTGAAAATAATAYTCTTTGTTTGAGTTGTATYCATTTTCATATACAGTCAATTCAAAAAACGTTGTCGTCGACCGGCTCAAGCCTACGCGACTGGACCGAAAGAAATATGGGTAAAAATCACTGAAGCGGTTTAAATATTCGTTCTGAATAAATTGTTCCYGCTAGTAATAAGATAATAATGGCAAGAAAAAAYCCATCAAATGCATGTCTTTGGGTTTAGGGAAAGAAGAACAAAGTAGTTATGATTCAGTTCACAATTTCGAAAATATGAAGGCATTAAAAAAACGTCTCTTTCAACACTTCCCGCTCGCCTACGAACGTTCGTGCTGTAAACCAGGCATAACTAGTCAGATAAAATTATGCAGTCAACTCGGCTTCAATGATTACTACCCATAGTTCCTTTCGGTCCAGTCGCGTTGAGTCGGCTTGAGTTGGTCGACGACAACATTTTTTGAATTGACTGTATTCTCATGCACAACCGTTAAACAAACGTTTCACTTTTTTTTCGTTTTCCTTGTTAATGCTTTAATTTTATACTTGCTGACTATTTATTAATTTTATATATCCTGCAATGCGCCATAAGCCTCTGGCTTGGGCCTCATCAATCATAGTATATGCTATTTTTCCTTTGTTGTTGAATAGATTGTCGTTGTTGAAGAAATGGTACTCAAACGACTGACAAGTGGTCTGAAATGGGAAAATATTATGTCCAAGGTAGAGAAGGTTTGTCGGTTTTCTCGTGAAATTCAGTCAATAACTTTTACTTTAGAATATTTATGTGTGGCAGGGAATCCAAACCCACGCTGTTTAACTTAGAAGACATAGTCATAAGTACTAAAACTCAAGCAACAACAGAGCAGCAGCAACGACTACCTTTATCCACTGACGTGCCATCTTTGTTCACGTTATTCTCCTCCTTTGACGTAAGAGGTACAGTCCCCACACCCATAGCAGCTCTTATACTCTCAACTTCCGCAACGGCACCAGGACCTACTTGCGACGTTAACTCTCGGAGAGTATCCGTCAGCTGCTCGGCTAAAAGCTTTTCTTTTTCGGATGGCTTCGTAGCGGCTTCGGGAGTTGCCGACAATGGATCGCCAGGGCGTGAGGAGAGTCTAGAATGTTGAGCTTCTTGGAGATCTTCCAATAAGCGACCGGTCGAATTGAGTTGGTCGACTAAATTTGAACTGTTAAAATTATAAGACATGGAAAATTTTAGCAACTATTTTTTCTTAATCATGTTTAAAAAAGAAAAAAAAAATAAGGGCTTGAAAGTTTGGGCATAAAGTGCATGGTAGCACCAGAGAATGCGGTTTCACAGTGACAGCTGCATCGACAGAGGATCATTCTCCTGCAGACACTGCCGAAGACTGCARCTATGTTCCAACAAAACTGCGACAAGTTGTTTCTGAGCAGGTGTATAACGCTATATGTTTAACACGCGATTAGGGCCATCTGAAAATTGTCACTCTGGTACGGGTGTACCGTGTCTAATAAAGTTGTTAGTATTATATTTGTCGTGCTAGCTTAATCAGTAAGAGCGTCGGCCTGTTGTGTGGGAGGTCGTAGTTGGAGTCCAAGCAGGACTAACACTCAGGGTTTTAAAATGACTGAGGAGAAGGTGCTGCTTTCGTTTTTTACATCTACAAATAGTTAGATCTTCACGTGGCTCGGATGATCACGTTAATGGCGGTCCTGTCCCTTATCAACTAGAGACTTTTAAAGAGGAACACGAGTTTATCGGTTGAAATACTGTTCAGTGATGTGCGCTATCAATAAACAAAGTCTCTTTCTTTCTTTCTTTCTTCCTT